GACTGCTGCTGCGGCGGCACAACAGTGACACCGGGACCGCAAGCTGCTCCTCGGCTACCACCGGCACTCTCCACACCAGCACCCCCAGAGGGACCACCCCCAGGGCTACCGGGACGAGCACCCCCAGAGTCAGCGAAAGGGTGCTGCGACGGCGGCGGCGGCGGTGGCGGCGGCGACGGCGGCAGCGGCAGCGACAACGACGGCTGCAGCGGTGGCAGAGGCGGTGGAGGGGGGGACTGGGAAGGGGACGCCAGGGGAGGGGCGGCCGGCGAGGACTGAACAGGAGGGCCGCCAGAGTCAGAAGACTCCTCAAACGGGTCCACCGACGGAAGGGGGGAGACGTGGGACACACCAGAGGGGGCGGGACGGGGAGGAGGAGGAGGAGGGGCAGGTACTACCGGGGAAGGAGTGACCAGGAACAAGGGGGGGGTAACCGGGGGACCACGGTGGGGGAAGCGACGGTAGTAGGAGACGGACTCGTCAAAGGTGACGTCACGAGAGTGAAAGAAGCGGTGAGACGGCGGGTGGTAAAAGTGCCAGTCGGACGCGTCAAGGGGAAAACCGAGGAAGACACAGGGAAGGGTGTGGGCAGTGAGCTTGTCCGTGCCGGAGGCACAGACGTGAGCAAGGCAGCCCCAGACGTGGAACGCAGACGCGTCACCAGGAGACCCAGTCCTAAGACGAGTCGGCGAAACCTGCGGCTGCTGAGGGTGCGGCCACAAGTTAAGCTGGTGAGAAGCGTAGCGCACAGCGAACGGCTACAGAAAATGGGGTGCACCGGCATGGATCATGGAGGTGCGAGCCACCTCCATGACCAAACCGATGCGTCACTCAGCAACCCCATTCTGCTGTGGGGAGTCCGGTAGGGTGAACGTCTGGGTGATGCCCTCCGCACGACAAAAGCGACCAAGGACACCTGAGGCAAACTCGCCACCACGGTCGGAGTGAAGACGCAAGACAGGGAGACCGCGGTGGACACGCGCAGAGACAAGCCAGGGGATGAGAGCGCCAGGCACGTCGGCCTTGCGCTCCAGGGGAAAGACTGTGGTGTAACGAGTGAAGTCGTCGACAAGCACAAGGAAGTAGCGCTCTCGACGCGGCCCAGGGACGGGGGCGGGGCCCCAGATGTCCAGGTGCAGGGTCTGCAGCGGCGCGGCGGTAGGGGGAAACGAGGAGGAGTGCGGGGCACGGCGAAGCCGACCCTCAACACAAGGCGTGCAAGGTGGGGCTGGGGAGGAGGGAAACGCGGGGAGGGAACCTGGGAGACCAAGGACAAGACCGTGCTGGGACATGTGACGCAAACGCGGGAGCGCAGGGTGACCTAGGCGGTGGTGCCAAAGGAGAGTCGGGTGAGTGAGGGACCGACAGGAGCAGGCAGCAGCAACCTGGGTAGACGCAGCCACCTGAGGAGGCACCCCAGCCGGGGGGGTCACGGTGTCTTGAGTGAACAGGCCGGACACCGGGTCCCGGGGGAACGTGGACAGGGGGGCACCAGTGGCGGCCTCGGTACAGACAGCATACCGCTCGTGACCAGGGAACGTAGTGGTGACGCCAAGGTCCTGGAGGCAGCCGACACCAACTAGGTTCCTGGAGAACGAGGGGATATGCAGACCTGTGAGAGAGCCCGAAGGAACCGCCGGACAGGGAAGGGTGGTGGAACTGCGGGCGACGACCGGACCGCCGGAGGGGTCAGCAAGAGAGACAGCAGCTGGGACAGGAAGCGGCGTCAGGGTGGTGGAGTCGCGGAAGAAACACCGAGAAGCGCCAGAGTCCAAGGTGAAGGAAAGCAAAGCAGAGGCGTCTGGCAACGGAACGACGGCGGAAGCACCAAGACTACACAAAGCAGGGGATCCTACGCCTGACGCAGCAGGGGAGGCTAAGCTAGGCACACCTACACTAGGCAACAGTGAGTAATAAGCGGGAAGCACACTAGAGTCATCAGCATACATCACATGCAGAGCAGAAACAATGGCATCCATGTCCAAGTCAAAAATCGGAATACTACGTCTAAGCAAACTGTGCTTGTCCGGGAGGTCTGGCGACGGGCCGAAGCGCTGACGAAAGAGGTCGTCCAGGCGGCGAAAACAGCGGGGAGTGGAGTGACCTATCTTACTGCAAACGAAGCCGCGGCGAGGACCGGTCTGGATCTGGTACTGACAACGCCCGCCGCCAGAGCCACCACTCGGCACACCACCACGCGCCCGGCCACCGCCAGCGCCGGGCCACCTGGGCGGGAGGACACTCGTCTGCCGCGTCTGCGACGGCTGCTGCGGCTGCTGCGAAGGCTGCGACTGCGGCGGCTGCTGCGGCTGCTGCAACTGCAGGGGCGGCGGCTCAGCTGGAGTGGGCAGGGCCCCCTCGTCCGCTCCAGCACCAGACGACCCGACCCCACCACTACCCCCTCCCGCACCCCCGGCGCCGCCGCCGCCGCGCCCAACCTTGGGGCGGCGGCCCTTCCCCGAAAGAAACTGCGCCGCAGCAGCAGTCTCAGCCACTGCGGCAGAGCCGTCGGAGAAGGTACACTGGGCGGGGGCACAACCCTGAAAGATAGGGACCGACACGACACCGCTCGTCTGGGCGATGGAGCGGTGACGGGTCTCTGTCACAGTCAGGGTGTCTACAAAGTCGGTGAGGGTGAGGTCTGCGGGGTGAATGCAAAGGAAGCGGTCGCGGGCGACAGCAAGGCGGTCAGGGAGGCGGGTGGCAAGCAGGTAAAGGGTAGAGGTAATGGGCGGCTGGTGGGCTCTAAGCTGTGCGTCAGTGCAGGCAGCGCGCCAGGTCTCATCTATCGAGCGCAGGTGGGCAGCGAGGTCAGAGACAGTGGGGAAAGATGCAAGGTCAGGAAAGAGCATCGGGAGGATCAGGCGACCCACCGAGGCAGCCGGAGGGGTGGAATAGCGCTGGATGACAGCATCTAAGTATGCCTGAGCAGTGGTGAGAGACCTAAAGCGAGGGCGCTCGGACGGGGGAAGGGCGTTGCTGATGGCAAGCTGAGCGACAGCATCGCGAGAAAGCCAGACAGAGCGCGCACGGGCAGTGGCAGCAGTGGACTCACGCTCAGTGGGTGTGGAGTCAGCGGGCAGAATAGCAAGGGGGTCTGGGCAGGGGAGCGTACCGTCAAGGTGTGCGGAGAGCGGTTCACCATCCTGCCGCTGGCCAGTGAGTTGGCGACGGAGGTCGGCAAGCCACGCCTCGAACTCCAGAGGCTGGCCTTCAGCGTCGAAGCGAAGCTCCGCCGCCATCAGGAACAGTGCAGTGCGGTGCAGGGCAGTACAGCAAGGTGGAGTGCGGTGCCGTGCAGAATAGTGCGATGCAGTGCGGTGTAGGGCGGCGCAGTGCGGTGCCAGGCAGGACAGGGTGGTGCGGGGCGGTGCAGTGCGGGGCAGTACGGTGCAGGGTAGTGCAGGGCGGGGGGGGGGGGAACCGTACCAGTGAGGAGGACCGGGGCCGGGGCAGGGACGAGCGCAGGGGCCGGGCCGGTGCAACTGGGGCCGGGCGGGCGCGACGGGGCCGGGCGGGTGCGACGGGGCCGGGCGGGTGCGACGGGGCCGGGCGGGTGCGACGGGGCCGGGCAGGTGCGTCGGGGCCGGGCTGGTGCGTCGGGGCCGGGCAGGTGCGACGGGGCCGGGCTGGTGCGACGGGGCCGGGCCGGTGCGACGGGGCCGGGCAGGTGCGACGGGGCCGGGCGAGCAGGACGGTGGCCCAGGAGGGGCGCACCGGGGCTGGGCGGGCGCGACGGGGCCGGACGGGTGCGACGGGGCCGGGCGGCTGCGACGGGGCCGGGCAGGGGGCGACAGGGGCCGGGCGGGTGCAACGGGGCCGGGCAGGCGGGACGGGGCCGGGCTGGTGCAACGGGGCCGGGCTGGTGCGACGGGGCCGGGCTGGTGCAACGGTGCCGGGCTGGTGCGACGGGGCCGGGCCCAGGAGGGGCGCTACGAAGCCCAGGAGGGGCGCGGCGAGGCCCAGGAGGGGCGCTACGGGGCCTAGGAGGGGCGCGACGGGGCCTGGGTGGGGCGCGACGGGGCCCAGGAGGGGTGCGACGGGGCCCAGGAGGGGCGGAACGGGGCCCAGGAGAGGCGCTACGGAGCCCAGGAGGGGCGCGACGGGGCCTGGGAGGGGCGCGACGGGGCCCAGTGAGGGGTGCGACGGGGCCCAGGAAGGGGCGCGACGGGGCTAGGGGGGGTCGCGACGGGGCTAGGGGCTAGAGCGGTGAGCGGAAGCGGGAGGTGGGGGGGGGGGATCCTACCTACGCGTGATACCATATCAAAATGGAGAAGTGAATGATGACTAGTGAGAGTACAGAAAGATATACCTAAGAATTGTACCCTCTAAGAGGTGACCCTATACAGTCTATACAAACATACCGACTACACATGTTTGACACTACTCAAGTCTTTTACAACTGGGACTTAGTCTCTGGAAAGATCCTAAGGGCATTTCTCAGCCCAACAAGAGGCATGCCAATCTTGGCCTGCCTCAGACCACGATTTTGCAGTATGAGGTGTGGCACGGAGTGACGTTGATGTTTGCCTGGCAGCTCTAGGCGGCTGATGGCCGCGCTTTGGGTTCGGCATGAGAAGGGGCACGCGATTTGGGGGTCCTTGGTTTGGGGAAACCGAACCGACGCGATGTTGTCGCATGCTGACGTCACGTTTCAGAAATTGGGTTCAGCGAACCCACGAAGCCTCGATCGATGTTCCACATGCCTGATTTCCCTCGCCGTGCTGGTGAAATTTTGGCCAGCGAACGGCCCCCGGGTTCGCCAGCTACACTTTGCCATGTAACTGGGCCCAACTTGAAACAGGGTTTGCTATTTTAGCCTTGGGCTTTAAAATTTTTGATTATAGGCCCCACACGGAAAAAAGTGTTTCGTCCTACACGCCCCTAAGGGGCCCCTATCCGGGGGATTACGGTACACTGCTTTTCAGGCCTTTTTAGCCGGAAATCTGAGACCCTGGCTCCAATCAACTCAAAGTAGATCGAAGGCTTCTGATTGGTATACCAAGAGAAGCCCTTTATTGAAAAGAATTACTACACCAAGAACAAAGAATCAGCAATGACTATTAAACAGGGCAGAAGTAGGGCTGAAGGTTTAGCCGGCCCGTTACTTAACAGAGTGGACAGACACATCTTGAGTGTTGATCACGCCTCTCAAGCTTGCGCCCCACTTCAAGCCCTCGGACATGCAGCCTTGGATTGCGAACGATGGAATGAGAAATATGAGTCAGACGGTGAAATAGCCTGAATGACGGGCCATGGGGAGTGGCTTCCATCGGGCGAAGATCTGATCTGGTGTCAATGAAGCTTGTATTTGTGAATAACCCAAGTAGTAAAACCATGTCAAGTGTCCGGCGCACATAAGGGGGTGAGCCAGAGGTCAAGCATGGCGAGGGTGACCGGCCACGAGTAGTGCGTGCTGTCGGGACACAGGTCGGGCCGCGGCACCGTCAACGGCAGCATGCCAAGCGCACTCGGAGCACCGGGGTCTGTGGAGGGCAGTCGCCTGTAAGGGGATGATGGGAGGGCGGGAGGGAGGGGGGGAGGAAGTGGGGGGGAGGAGGAAGAGGGGGGAGGGGGGGAGGAGAAGAAGAGGGTTGGGGAGGGCAGCATGCAGCGTGGGTAGCATGATGGGAGCACCGAGGTCCAGGGAGGGCAGTCGCCTGAGAGTGGAACAAGGGGCGTTAGAGAAGAAAGGGAAAGGGCAGGAGGGAGGTGTGAGGCGGTGTGAGGTCGATCATGTTCCAGGGGGTGGGTGCTCCAGGCGTTTGAAGAGGAAGTGGTGCGCTCAGAGGGTGGCAGAGCAAGCACAGGAGCAGCAGATGTGCTCGTTGCAAAGGGCTGTCAGCAGCTGGAGGGCGGAACGGGCATGTGAAGCAAAGCAGAGAGAAGAAGAAAGAGGCAGCCAAATGGTGGCAGCGAGGAAAACAAGTTTTGAGGCGCCTCAAAACTAGGCAGCCGAATGGTGGCAGCGAGGAAAACGGCAACGCGAAAAGACAAGCCCTGAGATACGGGAGCACCTGAAGCCATCTGAAACAACCTGGGCACCTGAAGGCACCTGAAGCTACCCAGCAGGTTCACCTGAGCAGCTCGTGTTCGAACGCCAGTCCGCGGGCGTTGTTGCTGACCGGCACGAAGTCCCGCGGCTTGCTGTCCTCGCGCGCCGCCCACGGACCCAAGACCGTGACTGCAGAGGGGTCCTTCATGGTTGATCGCAGCGCAGGGAGCAAGTGGGAGTCTGGTGGTGGGGAGGTGAGGGCGAAGGGAGGAAGAGCGGAAGGGGGGGGGGGGGGGGGGGGGGGGGGGGGGGGGGGGGAGGGGGGGAGATGAGACTAAGCCCATAACCCCAACACAGTGGGGTATGTTGTGAGGCATGCGGAGAATGGCACAATGATTCTCTACCCACATGCACACCTACCCATGAGAGCAGCGAAGTCCTTGGCGCTGGGCTGCTGAATGAGGTCGTGCAGCGTGGTGCCCACCAGGGCCAAGTCAAACACCCGCCGCCCGCCCTCTCTGCTGCTGCTCCCATTCAAGCTGCTCTCCTTGCCATTGCTGCCATCACCGCCACCAGCGCTGCCACCAGCGCTGCCATCAGCGCTGCCATCAGCGCTGCCACCAGCGCTGCGAGCAGCGGTGCCATCATCCATGCCTGTCCCCGCCTGGCCGTCAAAAAGAGTGAGGCCTGCGCCCACGAGGGCGGGGTCGCTCATCCACGCGGGGAAGACGGGCTTCCTGGCGCCGCACTGCGACACGTACGTCAGGTTAAATGCGCTCGGGGAATGGGCTGCTCCTGGCGTGCTCAGGTTGTATCTGGTGGCGTGGGAGGGAGGGAGGGATGGGATGGAAGATGGGCTTCATAGTGCGGCACGGCGATGCGGAGGCGTGATGGAAGGCCACACGGGGAGTGGCTGCTCCTGGCGTGCTCAGGTTGTATCCGGTGGGGTTGGGTCGGGTGGGAAGGGACGGGATGAGATGGGAGGAAGAAAAGGCAGGCTTCATAACGCCACACTGCAAGGTGTATGTGAGGTCGAATGGCACATGGGGCATGTTTGCTGCTGCCGTGTGAAGGTTGTACCTGCGTGGGAGGCACGGCCGAAACGGAGGGTATGGGAGTGGAGAGAGCGAGTGGCAAGAGGGTGTGAGCCGTGCAGTGCAGGGCTGACGGGCTTCACCGAGGCCCACTGCCCCACTGCCCCACACACGTGCCGTGCCGAGCAGGTGAGGTGCTCTCGCCATACTGGAAGAGGGAGGAGCGCCCTTGGGAGCACCTGATTGGCGCCAACACACAACGCGGCAAGGCATGGCAAACGGCTTCTAGCATACAGCGCGCGGAGTGAGCAGCCACGGCCGGAGAGAGCAGCCATGGCCGTTGGGGTTCTCGTTGTGGGAGAAACGGGAGGACGCGTGTTGGGAGCAGAGGCCAGTCCGGGGAGATGGGCAGCAGAGAGGTTATGAGGCAGAGGTTATGAGTCAGAGGTTATGAGGCAGAGGTTATGAGTCAGAGGTTATGAGGCAGAGGTTATGAGGCAGAGGTTATGAGGCAGAGGTTATGAGGCAGAGGTTATGAGGCAGAGGTTATGAGTCAGAGGTTATGAGTCAGAGGTTATGAGTCAGAGGTTATGAGTCAGAGGTTATGAGTCAGAGGTTATGAGTCAGAGGTTATGAGTCAGAGGTTATGAGTCAGAGGTTATGAGTCAGAGGTTATGAGTCAGAGGTTATGAGTCAGAGGTTATGAGTCTGAGCCCCCCCACCCATACATCAGGACAAGGAACGAGGGCACACGCTCGCACGCGCCGCCGTAGCCGTTAAGGTCTCGCCGCGGTAGGAGGAGCTGGGTTGGGCGCAGAGGTCGATGGAGGCGTGATGAGAGTCAGCAGTGGGCTAGCGATCAAGGCCCGCCCACTCCACACGTACACGGCGCGGCCGAAGCCGTTGAAACTCTCCCCGTGGTAGAAGAAGGAGGAGCCGCGCTGGGGGCACACGCCCGTGGAGATGAGCGCGCCCGTGCTGCTGTTCACTGGCGGGTAGACGGACCCGTTGCCACGTGGCACGGTGCCACAGGCCATCATGTTGGGCCAGAACATCTGTTGAGAGGGGAGGCTCGGGGAGGAAGTGGGCGGGAGAGGGTGAGCGACTGGCATGCTGCTACGTGTCACACTGTCAAAGGCCAGCATGTACGTTGAGCCCATCAGGTTGGGCCGGAAGAACATCTGGACCGAGGGGAGTGTGGGGTGGGGTCAAATTGGGAGAAGAGATTGCGGCGCCGAATCGAGCAGCTCATGTTGGGGTGTGCGGCGCCTCTCTGAAATGGGAGCCGCTGAAAGCGCCGCAAGCGGCAGAGACAGTGTGCGCGTAGCGCGGTGTGGTGTGGTGTGGAGTTGTTGAGCAGCAGAGCAGCACACTGCCGCCACGGACGGAGGGAAGCCAGCCGAGGGCAAGCAGCAAGACACTCTCGGAATCGGCTGCCAGCTCACCTAGGTCTGTCGACAGCTCTATTGGGCTGTGTGCGGCTCACCGTGGGGTTGACAGCGAGCTTCCTGAGAAAGGCCTCTCTGGAGGGGAAGCGCAGGAAGAAGCGGAGGAAGCCAAAGGTGTAGCGCACCTGCCAGGCCCCGCGCCCCAGGAAGAGCATGAATCAAAGCATGAAGCAGCCCGTGGTAAGTCATAATGCATTAGCGATGTCGGTCGTTGCCACGTAAAGCCATGGAATGGAAACTATGTGGTGTTCACGCAGAGCAGAGGAGACCAGCGGAAGGCGCGGCGCACCTGCGAGTCCCCCAGCAGCAGCACGGAGCGGGCGTGGAAGCAGCGGGCGATGGCAGGCGGGGAGAGGCGGTGCAGGCGGCACGCATGGGGGCGCCAGAGCTGGCTCGCCCAGAAGCCGGCGTGGTGGGAGGCGGCGAGGAGAGAAGGTGTGCAGAGAGGGAGGGATTTTCTGAGGGGAAGTAGGGAAGGGAGAGAGGGGGCGGCGATGCGATGAGAGGGTGGCGTGGGGAGATCGATTGCAGCACCAAGGCACATGCACGAGGCGGGTTGCCCAGTAGGCAGTAGACATGGGCAAAAAAAATCGCATCGCATCGTTTTTAATCTCGTTTTTGCAATTGCGATTTAATTTATTTATTTTAATAATCGCGCGATGTGATGAATTGTTTATCGCGCGATTTATTTTTAATCGCATTTTAATCGCACTGGAAAACGCAATTCAAATGCGGAATGCGTTTTTTTTTTTTAGCACGACCGATGTCAAACTGAAACGCACTCTCATCAAACCCACTACAAAACCACACAGTTTATTTGCACTCTAGTTTACGACTGCCCGTGATTCAATTTCCCGGCAGCCATGGTTTGTTTCTGGTTTTTTTGGTGTTTTTCCATTCTGATTTAAAACGCGACACGATTTTAAATTGCATCGCACGATTTAAAATTCATCGGCGCAGAACGCGATGTGCGATTGATTTTTTCCAAGAAATTTAAGCCGCGCGACGCGGTTTTAAATCGCATCGCATTTAATTAAATTGCCCCCCACTGCGATGCGATTTAAATGGCAATCGCATTTTGCCCATGTCTAGTAGGCAGCGTGGTGGGAGGCGTGGAGGAGAGTGGGGGTACAGAGAGGAAGTGAGGTTCTGAGGGAGATGCACGCCTCCCAGTAGCAGCGCCACATGCAACGCAAGGTCCAAAGGGTTCAGAATCAGACGCGCGGCTCAAGGAAAATGCGATGCTGGCTTGGCGAAGGAGCGGCTCTGGACATGGAATGTACTGATCCGCGCGGTGCTGATCCGCGCAGTGCTGATCCGCGCGGTGCATGTGCATGCACCATCTGGGCAGTGGGCACTCCTGCAGCAGAGTGGTCCCATGGTCTCATGCAACTCGTCAACGCACCTGTGCTCTTGAAGAGAGTAGTTGGGCGCGGCAGATGCGTGGATGGTTTGAGAGTGCACGATGGTGTAGCTGCAGCACACACGGAGAGAGAGGAGGAGAAGGTTGAGGAGGAGAGGGGGGAAGGTGAGGTGAAGGTGGGCAAGAGAAACAAACGGGAATGAATGCCACGAGGAGGCTAAAATTAAGGGGAGGCTCAGCATGGGGTGCAGGCATGGGGATTGCATGCTGACTTGACATCCCATACACACTCGTGCTGCGTTCCTATGCTGCGCTGTAACATTCCTACACCTCTTCTTGCCCTTGCCCTCACCGTCCCTCTCTCTCACCGCTTACACCCTTTTGGCAGTGCCCCCCCCCACCCACACACACTAAACCGCACATTCCAGCAGCCCCCTCACCCCCTCATCCTCACTTGTTGAACCCCCCATCATTGCTGCCCCGCGCGTTGGAGCGCAGCAGGCGGAAGGTGGAGGAGAAGAGGAGGTGCAGGGAGAGGCCGTAGCGCCCGGGCAGGGGCAGGTGGAAGCACACCTGGGGGAGGGGAGCAGACGGGGGCAGAACGAAACGGTTTTGGGGAGAAGGTGGTGGAGAAGAGGAGGCGCAGGGAGAGGGCGTAGGGCTTAGCAGGGGCAGGTGGAAGCACACATGGTGCGGGGTGGGCGGGAGGGGGAGAAGCGGAGAAGAGGGAGGTAAGACAGACAGGGAGAAGAGGAGGGCGTGGAGCAGCCAGGAAGGGGCAGGTGGAAGCTGGTGTGGGGCGGATGGGCAGTGCCAAGATTGGGAGGTCCTCTTCAGAGGCAGCATGCGCCGTGGACAGGGAGGACACCCGAGAGCACGGAGACGACATCACCGGATCCCAGCTGCTGGCCTTGGTTGCATTGCATGGGTCCTGGGATGGTTGGTACCCGGTGCGAGGAATTAGTCGGGTGGTAGGTCACACGAGGTGCCATGCGTATGTCTGCACGCCCCTCCTCCTCCCGCTCCCCTGCTTCCTCCATCTCTCGTATCCGCGCTGCTCTCTCCTCTGGGCTTTGTGGGATGTGAGCCTCTGTCAACCGCACACTGCCTTGCGACGGCACAATGCCGCCCAGGAATGCCTCCTCCCCGCCGCTCCCACTGCTGCTGCTGTCGCTGCTGCTGCTGCTGCTGCTGCTGCTGCCGCCCGCAATGAAGGCCACCAGAAAAGCACGCTGCCTGCAAACGGCGTGAGGCAGGAGTGGGAGGGAGAAGAAACAATGGGAGGGACGCAATGGGAGGGAGGCAATGGGAGGGAGGCAATGGGAGCGAGGGAAAGTGTGAGTGAGGGAGTCGATGGGAGTGTGGGGAATGGGGGGAAAGTTGAATGAAAATAGGACAGGCGTGGAGGATTAGACAGTCATAGTCAATTGTGCGTGCAACAAAAGAAGGCACCACACGAGAGATGCCACACATGGAGTCACATAGATCAACACATGCCACACCCCTTGCTGCACTCCTCATGCAACAAGAACGCACATGGACACATCCAGGTATACACACAAGGCACATGGTCGATCGGCACACCTGCATGCGTCGTCGAAAGCCCTTCCATTCACATCCAGTGCTGGCAGGGGGCGCACACACATGGGGTTGAGCACACACATGGGGTTGAGCACACACATGGGGTTGAGCACACACATGGGGTTGAGCACACACATGGGGTTGAGCACACACATGGGGTTGAGCACACACATGGGGTTGAGCACACACATGGGGTTGAGCACACACATGGGGTTGAGCACACACATGGGGTTGAGCACACACATGGGGTTGAGCACACACATGGGGTTGAGCACACACATGGGGTTGAGCACACACATGGGGTTGAGCACACACATGGGGTTGAGCATACACATGGGGTTGAGCACACGCAACGATCCAAGGAGCTGAGTGGATGAGAGCTGAGCTCGCAAGTGGATGAGAGCTGAGCGCAGCGGAGCCAAGCAGAGCAGATGCAATGCAAGCAGCATGCTTCACAACCACGGACGTAGCGGGCTTATCTATTCTTGCCATGCCATGGCTTCCAACAGCCACTCTGGCGGCCCTTCCCATTCAAACACAGTGCGTCAAACCCCTCTCCTCCCACACACGCCACAGCCCCTCTCCTCCCACACACGCCACAGCCCCTCGCCTCCCACACACGCCACAGCCCCTCTCCGCACACCCACCCCACACGCCCACCCCGCACTCCCACCCCGCACACCCACCGCGCTCACCCACCCACCTCGCACATTGAAGCACGTCTCTTCATTCACCCTCGCCTCGCCCACACCCCCTCGCCCCACTTCCACCTCCACCCGCCCAAACGCCGCCTGCTCCTCCTCCCGCCCCCGCCTCACGTCCTCCTCTGCCACCGCGCTGTCGCATGCTGATTGGTCGGTTGGGGCACGTTTGGGCTCTGACTCTGATGGGCCAGTGGACGCGTTTCTGCCCAAAAGCGCGTTGGCGATGTCAGCTGATGCCCCAGCGGCTGCGATTGTGGGTTGTGAAGCTCCAACGGCTGGGATTGCGCCATCTGAAGTCCTGGTATTTCCCGAAACGCCACCCTCTTCCATGGCAACAGTAGTGGCAGCCAAGGCATCACCAGTAACAGCAGCAGCAGCAACAGCTGGTACTTGCCGGGTATCACTGGCCTCTGTGGCGTCCCCGCCACCGCTACTATCCCCGCCTCCATCCACCCCATCATCCTCGCTGCCTCCTCCCCCCACCGCACCCTCCTCCACAGCCGCCCCCCCACCTCGCCCCACCACCAGGCGCCCTGCAACGCCCCCCTCTGTGCCCTGCAGCGCGCAGCCCCAGGGGAAGACGGCCAGCCATGGCTCGCCTCGCACGGCTGTCGGGGGCATACGAGAAAGCGAGGGAAGGGGGGAAGGGGGGAAGGGGGGGGAGGGGAGGGGAAGGGGACCAGAAGGGGAATCGATGAGGAAAAAAGGGCGGAGGACGGGGGCGGGGAGGGGGAAAGGTGGAGGGAGGGGAAAGGTGGATGGAGGGGGGTAATGGACTACGAAGAATGAGGCGGGCCAAAGAGATTCTATGGCGAATGGTTGGTGGGGGGGCGGGTTGTGTTTGGGGTTGGGGGGGGGGAGAGAGACACACACACATGCGGAGGCCAAGCGGGAGGCAGGAGGAAAGGAGTGCAGTGCGAAGGGTGAGGGGAGGGGGCATGCAGTGAGGGGAGGGGGCATGCAGTGAGGGGAGGGGGCATGCAGTGAGGTGAGGGGGCATGCAGTGAGGTGAGGGGGCATGCAGTGAGGTGAGGGGGCATGCAGTGAGGGGAGGGGGCATGCAGTGAGGTGAGGGGGCATGCAGTGAGGTGAGGGGGCATGCAGTGAGGTGAGGGGGCATGCAGTGAGGTGAGGGGGCACGCAGCAAGCAATCCAGCTCTCAGAGGAGATCGCAACGCACGCAAGTTGCTGCGGGGGCTGTCTGCCCGTTTCTATCTCTGCCATCGTTTATCATCCCACTTCTTTCACCAAACCCTCGTTAATGCCAGCACGCGTCCAGAGGCATGGGCGATCGCCGCCGCACTGTCGCTGCCTCGCGACTGCCTGAATGCCTCGGCGACTACCTCGGCGACTACCTCGACGAATACCTCCGCGAATACCTCCGTGAATACCTCGGCGGCTGTTGTACGACCGCAGCAGCAGCAGCGAGAGCGCGAAGGCCAGCAGCGCCTGAGTGCTCACGAACGCGCCAGAGGCGCCACCGCGATCGCCGCGAGCTGCGGGGAGCGCTGTAAGGGTGCGGGGAGCGGGGTGCGGGGTGCGGGGAGCGGGGTGCGGGGTGCGGGGAATGGAACGGGGCGGAACGTTCGGGGGAGCGGGAGGGGGGGAAAGCTGGGGCACTTGAAAGAATGGAAGACTAGAGTCGGAGGAACCAGCACTGCGGCCGAGAAAGCGGTCGCTACGGGCGTTAGCGACTGTAAACGAGCGACGGCGGTGGCTAATTCGATGGCGCAGATCGAGCGAGAGCGGCTTCAGCTTGACCGGTCGCAGCACGTACCGCGAGCCACCATCAGCGTGCTTCCACTGGCAAACGGGCAGCGGACTAGCGGCGACCAGCGGCGACCAGCGGCGACTAACAGCGACTAACAGCGACTAGCATGGCGAGGCGGATCGGTCGCGCGCACAGACACAAACGTGACAGCTGTTAGGAAGAGGTAAGATGCCGCCGTGTACAGAGCAGATGAGTCGCAACTAGGGGGAAACGATGTGTTGGGTGTCTCGGGTTATGCTAGGGGCGAGCAACATTTGTGTGTATTTGCCATGCACGACCACGAGTCATGTGAGGCTGGGAACCATACCGCGATTGAGCCAGGTTTCGCGAAAAGAGTCAGCGAAAAGTCTGCTGGGCAATCGCAACTCAGGAAGGTGAGGCTGCCAATTTGCAGGTGCAACTGGGAGCCTGCTAACGAAAGTCACCGCAACTTGGCAACCCGATCGCGAAGGTAACAATCCTTCGCCAACAAAGTCGCAACCGGCTTATGGGGGGGGAGAGGGGGGGGAGGGTTTACACAAGCGATTTTTGAAGTACAATTACATTATCATTTCGCTCTTTAGCAAGAATTGTGTGTTAACTCCCTAATCCCATTTCAAGTTTCTTAATTAGACCCCGTTGGGGGAGGGGTGCGCCTTCCTCGGAGATAGTGCAATACCGAGGCGACGCGCACAGGGCCGACCAGCAAGCTAGCCATTGGCACCTGCCCCCGAAAGAAATTAATTTAATATCATGTGGTCCGATGGACCACGTATCAGATATTAAACTGATAAGAACAGATACTACACTTGATCTTAGCCAAAAGGCCGAGAAAGGTATGCTTGAAACGAGAAAAATTTCGGCGTTTACCTTAGGCTGTGACTGACTCGTTTTAGTGTTCCGTGGGTCTCAAACTCCTATGTTTCCCATCCGCCGCCACGTGTATTGGCCTGGCTCCACTTCAACCTGCTTTGGCAATGGTGAGTCCACATATTTCCTGGTTTAGGACTGTCACTAGCACTAGCCTCGTCCTCGCCCATCGCACGAGAACTTGGTTCCCGCAGCGAACCTCTTTCCACAACTACCTTCCACCCTCGCAACCCTGCAGCCCGGCGATTGCGAAAGCCCGCCCAAGTAGCCCTCAGCAATCACTAGACGGTGCCCTCGTGGCATCCCTCCCCCTCTCGTCCCCACCACCCAGATTCAGCTCTGCTTACTCGACGCCACCTCGCCGCGCGCCTGCTTCCACACACCGCCTCGCAGTCGAGAGCTGACACTAGCAGAAGATCAGCTGTCTTGAGCAACCAGTTTCTCTCGCCATCGCGTCTCCTCCCTGTGTCGCCATCTCCTCCCCGTGTCGCCATCTCCTCCCCGTGTCGCCATCTCCTCCCCGTGTCGCCATCTCCTCCCCGTGTCGCCATCTCCTCCCCGTGTCGCCATCTCCTCCCTGTGTCGCCATCTCCTCCCTGTGTCGCCATCTCCTCCCCGTGTCGGGATCTCCTCCCTGTGTCGCCAGCTCCTCCCCGTGTCGCCATCTCCTTGTGCGTTCTGTTTCCCGCTTCCTCACTCCTCTCCTCCTACCCCTCCTGGCGCGTGGGGGACGAGCGCCAGGCTCGTTCCCCCCAGCGCCAGGCTCGGCACCCCCAGCGCCAGGCTCGTCCCCCCCAGCGCCAGGCTCGTCCCCCCCAGCGCCAGGCTCGTCACCCGCAGCGCCAGGCTCGTCACTCCCACCTGCACCATGCCAGCCGCATCCGCCGCTCCTCCCCTGCCCCCGCCCTTCTTCCCTGCCTATTCTTCCGCCCTGCCCCCTCAACCCCTCCCAGACCACCCCTTCCCTTTCCAACCCCTCCCTGACGTTCCCCCCTCCGCCCCTGGCTCCCCCAGCCCCTTCCTCGCTCCCCTCTACCTCCCCTCCGATCTCCCCCTCCCCTCCCCCTTTCTGTCTTCCCCCATCTCCCCCCAACTCACTCCTGACGCCCCCACCCCCCCTGCTTCCGCGATCCCCCTCCCCCTGCCCTCTCCCGGCTCCGCTCCGCCTATGGGGGGTGTTGGGGGAGCAGCAGCGGGGGGGAGGTCGGGGATGGCTCAAGCAGGGACGGCCGGGCTTATACCCATCCCTGTAATGGTGCCTGCTGGCATGTCACCATTGGCTGTGGCTCCCCAGCCAATGTATATGCCTTCCCCCCAGCAGCAGCAGGCACTTTTGCGGCAGAAAGGGCGCGCAGGGCGAGGGGATGGGGGGATGCACGGGGGAAAGCAAGGGGAGGGTGGTCGTGGTCCTGGGAACGTTGGGGGCAGGCAAGGGCAAGGTGAGGGGCAAGGAGCAGGGGTTGCAGGGCAAGGGCGGGGACAGAACCAGAACCAGAACCGGAGCTATAATCATCACCACCATCATCATCATCATCAGCAGCAGCAGCAGCAGCAGCAGCAGCAGCTTTGGGCTCACATGCCGAGATCAGGGCACCAGCGGCGGCAGAAGCAGCCGCGGCAGGACAGGCAGAGTCACGGACAGGGGGACAGTTGGGATCACCACCCACAGCCCATGCCGCTTCACCAGCAACACCAGCAGCAGCAGCAGCAGCAGCAGCAGCAGCAGCAGCACCAGCACCAGCAGAAGCAGCAACAGCAGCAGCAGCAGCAGTGTCGCGTGAACCTCTATAATCGGGTTACAGAGTTTCAAGGGACAGCGCGAGAGGTTATAAGGGAAGCAAAAAGGTTGTATATATACTGTACATAGGTTATGTCAATTGTGCATGGTATACAGTGATGGGCGAGTCGGGGGCGGAATTATGGTGAGGTCAGTTGAGCAGCTGGCGGATTGGCGCGGACACTTCAGGAGAAGGGATGGCTAGGCTGGAGAGGGGCATGCAGCACGCATGGAAGGGAGGGTTGGCAGGAATCACGGGGCTGCCACCGGAGGAGAAAACCTCGCAATGGCGCGCCACGCGCGGCGGATTCAGCTGGGAGAGCATCCGCTAGGAAGAGTAGCACAAAGCCGTAGCATTCTCACCTTTGTAGCTACTCTGTTTGTTCTCTCATCATAGGGGAAAAGCCTGTATGCTTGTTTCCTAGTGGATTCTTTCCTGACCAAATGCCAGATCCCTGAGGAGAGGCCAGACAGAGGGTGGCGGTAATTGGGAAGCTTGGCTGTCCAATCTCGGAGCTTTTATTATAAACAGAGTCATATGGCGGCTGTTGGAAATATCTCAAGGACTTAAGCGTTTCTGAAGTGTAACACTGTACTCGAGGAAGATTACAGGGGAGCACGCGAGTCAACGGAGGTTACACGAGGGGGCGGACAAAGAATGCGAAAGGACTCGAAAGGTCGCAACTGGAGGTTGCGACTGACCGTTACAACATCACGGATGGTAACCGAAGCGGCAATCGAGTCGCTGTGCGACTCGATAAACCGTTCCTGTAACTGTATTCTACAACTGCTTTCTTATCTTCTATATATTGCTGTATGCTTGTTTCTTTAATCAATCACTTGTTCTCACATACTAGTACAAGGGTTCAACTGCCTCAACTTCCGCTGCACTACTCCAAGTCTCAAGTCTCTACAGCTGGGACTTAGTCTCTGCAAAAGATCCTAAGGGCTTTTCTCAGCCCAACATGGTATGAGAGCTGGTCAGAGACCAAACTCCCAGCAACTACGTCCTATCAACAACCTGCAACTCAACTCAATTCAACGACTTCATTGATTACAAGACATGGACAACAAGGGCAAGAAAGTCTCTACGGGCTCACCCAGCGCCCAAGAAACTCAACACGGCAACTCTGGTCTGCACACCTCAGGACTGCAGACAGAGACCGGGACTGCTCAAGAAACAACGGGAAGAGTACCAGAGATGGTGACCCCGTCTCCCTCTTCAAGTGTGGACCCGAATCTCATGGAGAGATTCTTCAGCTTCATGTCACACTTCGATCAGCAGCAGCAGACAAGGACACCTGCGCACTCAACACAGAGCAATGGAGGGAATATGGGATTAGCGCCGATGAGCCTCGACAACTCATCCTTCGGGCGACACAATCAAGCGCCTACCTTTGCGCCTTATCATTCTTCGCCGGGGACGTTCGAATTCATGCCGCCCCGTGCCCAGCCAACAACAGCTGCTTCACAACAAACACCGAATGAAATCTTAAGTTTACAGGCGCAGTTCTCACACGTGATCAAACTTCAGACATCCTCACCGTTCAACGGACACGACTTCTTTACCTGGAGCTTCGAGTTCGAGCTGCTGATGGAGGCCGCGCATCTTCTGGGATACTTCAACGGGTCCCTGCCATTCCCAAGCAACGGCACTGGGAAGGAACAAGAGATCTTCACGTATCAGTCGCTGCTGGCGTACACGGTACTCCTGAGAAACCTGTCACCACAAGAGCAGCAGAGCATCAGAACGTATCGGAGTTATGGAAACTCCGCGGAGCTCGCATGGCACCACCTCAAATGCCTTTACCAAGCAAACGACAGCGTGACACAAAGCAGACTCATGCAACAGCTGACAACAATACAGATGAAGACCGGGGAAAAGGCGATGCAGTATATGAGTCGCTGCCAGACCCTCCGCGACCGCCTGCTTCGGTGCGGAGGAACGATCACTGAAGAAAGCTTCGTGACACTTGTCCTCGCCGGGCTCGGGCCAGAATGGAGAACCACACGATCACTTCTTCGAGCCCACGGAAGAATTTCGGAGATGCACCTCTGCGCCGAGCTTCACGCTGAACAACATGAGATGGATCTGTTCGAGGAAAGACAACCAAGGAAGCAACAGCAGTTAGTCTTCTACACTCAAAGAAGAAATGACAACAACTACAACCGACGCAGCAAGCAAGATCAACGTGACAACCGAGGACTCACCATCGTGCCGCCGTTCTGCCACAACTGTCAGACTTCCGGGCACTCCAAGGTCAACTGCAACCGCCCTCGCGTTTACCGTGCAGCAGACCCACAAGTCGCTTCCACTCAAGCAAGTCCTCCAAGGCGCTCTTCAACATCTGCACAACAAACACCCAACATCATCAACTGCATGGTACACATCGACAACTGCGCACCCGCTTCACCACCCACTTACGCACCAGACGAAGAGGAATTCCCGCCGCCGCGCTCGCAAGGACTTCAGGTCAACCCGACATACGCTGCAGTCGCTAACGCCGAACCCACCGGGCGGAACACCTGGTTCTTGGACAGTTGCTGCGGTCAGCACATGTGCTCCTCCGGACGCTTCGTACAACACGAGCGACGCCTCAACCGTGACGTCGTCATCACCGTCGCCAACAACGAAAACCTGAAAACAAATAGACAAGGCGTGGTTCAGTTACAATCAATGGAGACAAACGTTATTCTTCAGCTCAACAAGGTCCTCATCGTCGACAATCTGGGATACAACCTATTAAGCGTAAGCCAACTAATGGCTAAGGGGATTCACCTGGAGTGCGACTCCTTCTCCAACGAGTTCCGACTTTACCACGGGAAGGGTGGTCTCTTCATCGGTCGTGCCCTCCTGAAGTCCGGTGTCTTCGTGTTGGACTTCGTCCCCGACCGCGGAACTGCCGACAGCGACGGTATCGTATCCTTCGCCGCCTGGACTCATCCGCCAGATCTTGATCCCGACTTCGACAGCGACGGCTTCTGGCACTCCAACACCATACCTGCAGCAGAAAGAACACGAGCATTAGCAGTTATCAGACAAGAAAGACAAGTACCCGCATGTGTCCCAACAAAACCATCACCTGCAGTATCGGCAGCAGGACCCAGCCGAGTAACACCACCAGCGACACGAGGACAGCCAACCGAAGCAGACCAACTTATGCCCGCCACACGAGAAGCTTGTCGAAGTCCCGCCTCGGTCGTCGCGTTCTTCTCCAACGCCGACATCTACCACCGCTCGCCCGGTCACCGCGCTCCCGACGACATCTGGCACCAACGTCTCGGACATCCTGCAAACAGCACGATACTACAAACAATACAAGCAGAGGTGTTAGAACGTAACGCCCTTCTAACGACGAGCGGCCAAGAACTTCGCCGACCAAGAGCACGATGCTTCACGTGCCCCGAAGCAGATCTTCCTCATCAACCTTTCCCAGCCCATCACAATCCAAGCGCACCCACTTACGCTCCGATGGAAAAGGTCTACAGCGATATTCTAAACATGCCTCGAGACGACACCGAAGCCGACTTCAACTACGTCATCACGTTCATCGACGCCGCAACCAGATACGTCTGGCACTTCAATCTCAAAACGCGCGATCAAGCCTTCGAGGCCTTCACCACATGGCTTCCAATCGCCGAACGAGAGTCAGGAACCAAACTCAAGAGTTTCCAGTCAGACGGTGCACTGGAATACCAGTCACAACGCTTCAGGACCTATCTCGCGGAAAGGGGAATCCGACGCCTGGTGTCTCTGCCCTATGCTCACCAGCAGCAGGGGGTAGCAGAACGCATGAACCGGACCTTGCAGACGACGATGCGAAAACTGCTTCTGGGGATGAGGCTGCCCAATACACTGTGGCCAGACGCGATGACACATGCAGTCCACCTGCACAACCTGTTGTCCTCGTCATCGCTCCCCAACAACGCATCACCGCACCTGCTGTGGACGGGAAAAAGGGGCAGCACAAAATTACTTCGAGTTTTCGGCTGCATGGTACAATACAGACCCCACACAGCTCGAGCAGGACGCTTCACTCAACGAGCTCGGTGGGGACTACACCTCGGCATCGCCAAACATTTTCACGCGTGGAAGATTCTCGACATACACGACAAAAATACGGTGGCATCACGTGATGTTATCTTCTACGAGCGACTGACGCTGCAGCATTACCTGGACAACATTGCCAACTCAGACGACCCCACCGACGGCTTCGCGGGCCTTCGCTCCTTCGCTGACCATGCTGCCGAGGCTGACGCAGCAGAAGAAGACGTCCCTGGAGCCTCGGAGGCTGCCGGACCACTCCCCTACTGCTCCGTACCTGTTCCACTCGATGAAGATAATCCCCTCGATAGCAACAACCTCGACACCTTTTACCACTTCGCTGACCAAGGCTACGCTACACCACACCCCGTCGACTCGAATATTTCCGAACGCATCGGGCCAAACTTCTTACCCGATCCTGAAGACGGTGATGAAGCAGCCTATCCCGAGAATGAAAACTCCCCTCGACACACAGCCACGGGACTGCAGATCCTAGGACTATGGGTCTCCGTCCAGCACCCGCCGCCGCCTTCTCCGCGCGAGCCGTCGACCCTGTCGCAGGCTCTGGGGGGGGAACATAAGGCACAATGGAAGGAAGCGATGGAAAAAGAGTTAAAAGCTCTGCAAGACCGAGAAACATGGAAACTGGTACCTGCAACGAGCATCAACGGGAAGAACATTCTCTCGGGGAAATGGGTGTACCGCATCAAGACCAACTCAGACGGCTCCATCGAACGATTCAAAGCTCGATGGGTCGTACGAGGCTTCGATCAACGATACGGAACCGACTACACAGAAACCTTCGCTCCAGTCTCCCGTCACACCTCTCTGCGCATCCTACTCGCCATCGCGGCCACGAAGAAACTACCACTACGGCAAATCGACGTTGCAAACGCCTTCTTGTACGCACCTGTGGACGCCGAAATCTTCGTCGAACAACCCCACGGATTCATCGACGACCCTTCAAAAGTATGCCAGCTGGAAAAATCCCTTTACGGGATCAAGCAAGCCCCACGGCTCTGGCAGCAGCACCTTCACGGCCGGCTCGTAAAAATCGGATTCCTACAGCTACCACATGACCAAGGCATGTACCGACTACAGAAGGGAAGAGATTACATTCTGCTCATCGTCTACGTCGACGACCTGCTCTACATCGGTTCTACCACCGACATCGTCACCTGGTTCGAAGGGGAGCTGAAAAGGGACCTGACGCTCACGGTGTCCGACGAAGTTACCCAGTACCTAGGACTGAACATCGTCGAAGACGACACGGCGTTCTACCTACACGCTGGAAAGTACTCAAGCACCGTCGCGAAGAAATTCGGTCTAGCACCGACTGCGGTCCCAACTCCCTACCGCTATGGGAACAACAGTAGCGCCT